GTTGTCACAAATATAAAATAACTAGCATATTGATCATCACTATTGCAGGTATTACACTGCAAATCTTGCAAAAAACTAACTCTAAAATAACGCTTGCCCATCCTACCAAAATGTCAGATCACTTGGTAAACATTTTGATGATATAAATAATAATAATAATAATAATAATAATAATAATAATAATAATGTTTATTTAGGTAAGGTACATACATACAAGAATTTTTTACAAAGATTGGTGGAACCAATGAATGAACTACTCACAGCGCTAGGTACTAAACTATCGTTGATTATCTTGACAGAAACCTGGCTAAGTAAAGACTATACCTAACTTTACAACTTAGCTGGTTATAAAGTCATTCACAACTGTAAGCTTAATAAAAAAAGGAGGTGGAACAGCTATCAATTACTAAAATAAACCTTCATTTGCAAATAGTGTCATTAGTGATAGAGACGACTATTGTGAATACACCTTTGATCAGTTCTCGATTAAATCCCTTAAATCCTCAATGACTATTGGAGCTCTCTATAGATTTCCCAATACTAATATAACTGCATTCTCAGATAACCTAAGGAATCTTATCATAAATAACAATCTCAACAAAAATCCCATGATTCTAGGTGACCTCAATATTGACCTGGGTCAAGAAAATAGCCCCCAAGTCGACTATTTCCTAAACAGCGTGAACTCCTGTAAGCTAATCCCCCACAATCACCAAGCCCACCCGAATCACTCGAACATCCGCTACTACCTTGTATCACCCTTGGACTAACATAACAACTCCCCCTTGCATCTGGTATAATCTCTGACAGAACAACTGACCACCATCCTACTTTCCTCATACCAAACATGGACATAACACCACCAGGTACCAAGAAACTTATCTTCGGGTTACACAGTAAAGCAGCAATAGGCAATCTCACAAATGAACTTCATAATATAAACTGGGAATCTGAGTTCAATAATACACAGGATAGAAATTCATTAGCTAACATCTTCCTTTCCCAAACTCTAAGCCTCTACAACACACTGTCCCCTCCTCACCGAGCAGAGAAAAATCCTATTTAGAACGAACAGCATTTTAAAATTGATGAATGCGTCTGTGGGGTCGACCGCTGGATGGAATGGACTTGAGTCGAGGACGGGTTGCCCACGTACTACAAATATAAATAATCGCCAACAGAACCTAACCACCTAACCTTACTTTACTAATGTCTAAATATGCACAGTATGCCGATATATATCAATATTAATTTATATGTGAGAAAATTCCTATTTTGAATGAACAGCATTTTAAAATTGATGAATGCATCTTTGGGTCGACCGCTGGATGGAATGGACTTGGTCTGAGGACGGGTTGCATGACGAACTAGAGATCAGGACAGCGAAGTCGCTGTAGGTGAAAGGGAGGCCCCTTTTCTCACATTGGGTTTTTACAGCAAAGGAAGCAGCATGAATAAGGGGCAGACCAGTTCGATAAGAGATATTAATGTGTTCACCAATAATATACAGGATAAGATACCTATTAAGGCGAGCCTTGAAGTAGGGGACAGTTGAAGAGAAGTCGGTGAGAGGAAGTGCTGAAATTGTAGAGAATGTGTCATGGCTAAACCATCTGCGTGTCTGGAATCGATGCTGGAACAACCCCACAACTGGCTTGGCTTTGAGTCGGGTCAGGAAGGGCAGCAATGGCAATGCTTTTTTATTCCAGGTGTTAACAAATCCGTCTCTGGTAGTGTAATGACACTACTACTTTCTTTCTTCTTCTTGCTTCTATGTTTTCTTCCTTCTACTTCTGGCTTCGTGTAATCATCTGATGGTTTTTCTTGTATTCGGCGAAGTCCTTAGGGAAAAGTCCGGTAGCATGTTCGTTGTATTCTGTGAGGATGGTGCGGGAAGATACCAAGAACACCTAGTTAGTTCCTGGATCACTCTGCATGTATTCTGCATAACTCGTGTTAAATATACGGCTGATGAGCCGTCTGTAGACAGGAGACTCAATTGTAGTATCGTCACGTTGATAAAGGTCATTGACCACTGGAGATTCATTAGTAGGATACTCCATGTCTGAGGGAGGTGTGTGTGCTTCAGTGTCAGCCGAGGCAGTAGAGTCATCATCAGAAGACAGGTGGAGGTCTGCAGAAGCATCTGGTGTAGGTGCCAGTGAAGCTGGTGTAGTCACAGGTGCAACTGGAGTAGTTGTTTTTTCTGGAGTCGGAACCGATGATGATGTAGTTTCAGGTACCAAAGGGTTGGTAGGCGCTGTAGTAGGATGCAGAGGATGGGGGATCAGCAGACAGAAGATTTGCGAGTGTAGCTGGAGAGATGGTGATATCAGAAGGCAAACTGGTGGTAGTGGCTGTTGCTAATGTAGGGAAGAGTTCCTCTGGAACAGTGAACGTAGAGAGGCTATTTGTAGTGTGGAGTATGTTGAGGATTCGGACGAATTCTTTGCAGTTCGTGCCTGCCAACATTTCAACCAGACGGTCAAATTCAAAGACGGTTCTATGAACGGTGTTGGGGGCCAGCAACTGGTGTGATGAAGGCTGGCTTGATGATTGACCAGAGAATGGTTGTGGCTGTTGCAGCTGAGTCGATAAATGATTGGCGGACTGGGAGCCACGCCCCCCATTGGCTTGTAGGCTGCATGGAAGCTCCGGGAAGTTAGCTGCTTGCACGTTGAAAGTTGTTGGCGAGTGGTAGAGGCCTGCCTGGCGTCGGACATCTTCTTGATTTCTTCAAGTCTTCGGGGCACTCAACGGAGACGGCAGTATATTCATCTTGACAAAGAAGGCAGTGAAGATAGTCGTTGGTGCAGTCTTTGAAGTGGTGGTTTCCGGCGCACTTGCTTCACTGTTGGTCCTGGGAAGTACACTTCTTTGTGAAGTGCTCGTAGTTGTAGCACTTGAAGCACTGACGAAGTCTGTATTAGTGCTACTTGGTGATCTGGCGAGGTGTACTGGCGATACCAAAGCACCGGAAGCCTCAAAGGTAGCTTCCTCAGGCGATGTATAGGTGACCTTCATGGTGGCGAGGTGGCTGTCATGTCAGGAATGAGCTTAACAGTGACAGCGGTCAAGGAAGGGTTCTGCTCGTTAATGCTGGTGACAACAGCGGTGGAAGCTTTTTCAAAGAGTAAGGAGCTCACTCTCCGAACAAACACCGTCCTGGCTGCGAGGTAGTGACGTGGTAGTGATCAGGTGCGCCTCCTCCAGAGCAGAGAGGGTGGTGGGATCGAGCAGACCCTGTAATGCTGCGGCACTGCTGAACAGCAGTTGGGGTCCTCCACCGTCGACGACGTCCAGTGGTGCAACAGGAGTTTTTGTATTGATCAAGTCTAGGATCTCTCGCCGCGTAAGGGTCCGGGCCCCTCTGAATTGCACCTTGATCCGGTAGATCATGGTGCACAGTCTTAGTACCAGAGGGTTGTGCTTTGCTTATGAGGCCTGCTCGTTGCTTCCCCCTATAATGTATCAAGCTGGGAGTGGGGTCTGACCACCTACAGTAAAGCGCTCAATGTGTGTAAAAAAAAAAATCCTTCAAGAACTGCTTCAGTACCAAAAAATGAATAATTCGAATGGAAATTGAAAGCTCTATTTTGAAAAGTTTTAATTGTATTCTGTTTATATAGTTTAAGACTGAACTGACATAATGTAAATAAAATTATTGTTATAATTTATCTTAGTATGAAGCCAACATAAATTAGGACCTATCTTCTTGAGGTTATCTTGAGATGATTTCGAGGCTTTCAGTGTCCCCGCGGCCCGGTCCTCGACCAGGCCTCCACCCCCAGGAAGCAGCCCGTGACAGCTGACTAACACCCAGGTACCTATTTTACTGCTAGGTAACAGGGGCATAGGGTGAAAGAAACTCTGCCCATTGTTTCTCGCCGGCGCCTGGGATCGAACCCAGGACCACAGGATCACAAGTCCAGTGTGCTGTCCGCTCGGCCGACCGGCTCCCCAAAGGATACCTAAGGATAACAGATCCTTCTTGTCTTTAAAGTTCTATGAGAAATTGTTTAAATAACTATGTCAGGATCAACTCTTTTGTTCAATCTAAATTTATCAGTTTATGTTGATGGGCAGATATAATGGTAACAATCTTTTCGTTAAAACATTTTGAATTAACAGTCAGACATTTACAATCAAAATAAAAAAAAAAAACAGAAGGGACAGTAACACTGAATTATAATCTATTAGATGCAATTAGTTTATTTTTCTAGCAATTATATTTCCAAGTCCAACAATTTGAACAACCAACGGTGGTAAGCTGAAGTAGAATGAAGCCTAGCATTAGGTTCTTTAACCCGAATATACCCTCTTTCCTGCTCTAGGGTCCTTGGAACCGAATATGTTGGTTAGACTGGTATGTCACCTTTTGTAAACTCGTTAGCCAACTGTACTATAGTCACTGTGTCGGGGGTGACAGGAAGCCAGCGTGTATTCCTATACATTACGCTTTTATCTAAAAGAACAAACCAAATAAAATATTTTTAATTGCTGTCTTTCTAGTTCTCATTTCAAGGCTCTGATAGTCCCAGTGAATAATAATAATATATATATATATATATATATATATATATATATATATATATATATATATATATATATATATATATATATATATATATATATATATATATATATATATATATATATATATATATATATATATATATATATATATATATATATATATATATGTGTATATCACGAAAATAAACACGTGATTAAGAACCCGAATATATTTAATATACCAGTCTAACCAACATATTCGGTTCCAAGGACTCTAGAGCAGGAAAGAGGGTATATTCGGGTTAAAGAACTAAGACCTTCTGAAGATGTATTTAATATACGAAAGTACTTAAGGAAATTTCCTGTTTCATTTTTCCTCCGTGGTCTGACATTGTCATATATATATATATATATATATATATATATATATATATATATATATATATATATATATATATATATATGAAGGTAAAAAAACAAATATAGAATAACTTTATTTAGTTAGTTGTTTTTGTAAATTTATTTTTTAAATAATACAGTAGAACAAGTGGCTTTCTTTTTATCTAAAGATGAAAACACACACAAAAGTGTGATAATAAAGATAGAATAAACGATACAAAAATAAGACTCAAGGCATAAATTAGGAATTACTTTTAAACACATAAATAATAATAACTAAATAGGGAGACTCGCACGCGCGCGCGCGCCCACACAGTCTTTTTTCTCTCTAACGGAGAGTTAGCTTACGGTGATGTGTTTCACTGTACGTATAGTGAAGGTGTTACGCTCCATGGTACGTACGGTGAGAGTGCCAAGGTTTACTATGTACGGTGAAGGTGTTACGCTCCATGGTACGTACGGTGAAAGTGCCAAGGTTTACTATGTACGGTGAAGGTGTCAGGCTTCACTGTACGTGCGGTGATGTTGCAATGCTTTACTAAATTTACGGTGAAGGTGCCAAACTTCATTTTATGTATGGTGAAAGTTTCATGGTTCACTATAAGTACGGTGATGGTGCAATGCTTCACACTACGTGTGGTGAAGATATCACGCTACACTGTAAACATGTTGATGGTGTCACGCTTCACTGTATGTATAGTGAAGGCGCGTCATGTATCACTGCATGTATGGTGAAGGTGTCACGCTTCACTGTACGAATGGTGAAGTTTAAATGCTTTATTAAACTTGCGGTGAAGAGTCCATAATTCATGTATAGTGAAGTTGTCACTGGTTCACTATAAATTCTACGAGAGGGTTATACTTCACTATAAGTACAGTGAAAGGTACCATCCGTCACTACACGTATGGTGAAAGTGTCAATCTTCACTTCACACAAACTGTTCTCCTTAAGTGTACAAATATATATTAAGGATCTTGTCAAACCAGCTGAAAATTCCTTTAACAAAATTTTTTTGCAATTATCAATTCCTGATAAAGTTTATTAACACTAAGATTCGAATATTATTTTTTTTTAATTCTTGTGGCTGGATTGAATCATTCTTATTAATTATCATTATTTCGGAGAGACATAACACGAGGACAAATATTTTATCACAATAATATTGTTGAAATCACATTTTTTAAAAGCTAATAATATACCTGCAAACAAAATACCCAAGTCACAGAGCCTCTTCGTTTGCTAACACTCACTAGTATAGTTACCCATAAAACAAATCTGTTTTCTTTGAATCCTTAATGACATGGATTAAGTCCGTTTTCTTCTAACAAGTACCGTTCGAAGAAGCATAACTTGCGCAATACTAAAGTTACAAGGGTCTTGAAGACCATCCTCTCACGACTAGTCCAAAGGCTGAATCATACCAAGCCAGCATCTGTAAATCCAAAATGGCCGTCACTTCGCAAACAAAAACCCAGTAATTACGAGTCGGATCGTGTTAAAAGTCAGAGAGGATATAGATCCCTTGAGAAACGTTTTTTGAACACAAATTCTTGAGACGCGCTTCTATCCTCCTATGGGTCTGATCTTGCAGACGCAGCACGAGGGGAACCAGAAGGTGTCCGTTGCCAGCTTCATACCGGATCCGTCCAGGGCAATCAGACGCTTCTGAACGTACTGTTGCTGGCAGACAGAAGTGAATCCATCAGGAATGCTGCAGAATCCGGTGCAAGTGTTGGTTCTGGCGGGAAAGAAAATGGGTGGAAATAGATGAAGTGGATGTCCTCTCTCTCTCTCTCTCTCTCTCTCTCTCTCTCTCTCTCTCTCTCTCTCTCTCTCTCTCTCTCTCTCTCTCTCTCTCTCTCTCTCTCTCTCTCTCTCTCTCTCTCTCTCTCTCTCTCTCTCTCTCTCTCTCTCTCTCTCTCTCTCTCTCCATTACTCTTAATTAGTGAAAAAACATTAAATCACGAATAAATAGTAATATATTTAAGATATGATGCTAATGATACATTTAACATGTATTGTTTTGAAATAATTGGTGTCATTAATTAGTGCAGATCAAGGATTACATTTCCACCTATTACACACAACCCCTTGAACCCTATTGAAGATGAAACAGTATACCCACTACGCGAAATTTTAAAATTCCGCTACCTCATTTCGAAGCCCTAATTCAAATCACAGAGCCACTCCCAAAATTAAGACCCAATTTAGCCCCACTCCAAAAATTAAGACCCAATTTAGCCTTACTCCCAAAATTAAGACCCAATTTAGCCCCACTCCAAAAATTAAGACCCAATTTAGCCCCACTCCTTAAAACTGGATCGCACTCAGCTTTCATCTTGTAAGTTACGCATTGCTTAGCCGCGTAACATAAATTAGACCCCCTTATTTCACCGGCCCAAGTTCAATCCTAATTACCCTGGCAAGTCTGTATTTGACCCTAAATAACCCGAATTCTCCCGATAAAATTTTGCTTAGGCTCACTAACCTGCTCGTCCGTACGATTGTGTATAGGCCTACTCGTTAAATTTTGTCCAGTTCGGTCTTATTCCCGTAAATTATGCCGTAATTAGCATGACATTCCTAAATTATACGCCCAACCACTTGGGCTGGACGGTAGAGCGACGGTCTCGCTTCATGCAGATTGGCGTTCAATCCCCCGACCGTCCAAGTGGTTGGGCACCATTCCTTCTCCACCCGTCTCATCCCAAATCCTTATCCTGACTCCTTCCAAGTGCTAAATCGTCATAATGTCTTGGCGCTTTCTTTTGATAACTCCCTCCCTCCTAAATTACACGGTGATTTGGCGTCTTGTGTCACATCCCTAAATTAATCTGTGATTTGTGTCACATCCCTAAATTTTACTTTGATTATTGTCACATTCAAAAATTTCTCTTAAAAATTTTTCTCAAGTAAATAATTTACTGTACTTTTGATGTAAACTTTCCCAAATGTTAATGTACAAACATTTATGGCAAATTGCTTAATTTGAATTTGACAGGAAGAAAGCACAAGTTAATGCAGCCTCAAAAACCCTTAACTTAGACCTTAAGACCTCCAACTTAGACCTTAAGGCCTCCAACGTAGACCTTAGGGGCCTCAGCTTAGACCTTAAGGCCCCCAACTTAGACCCTAAGGTTAGCTTAGCATTTTAAAATCACCGACTCACCTTCTGTGGTTGATTGTTCAATAAACCCTTGAACTATATGTTTAACACTTCTCTCACCCTGTCCATGGAGGACAGAAGAAAATGTATATATGCTGGTTAGCATTGTAAATGTCTGGCCACGTCTGTGGTAGAAAATAATAATAATAAAAAAACCCTAAGGCCTCCAACTTAGACCTTAGGGTCCCCAACTTAGACCTCAGGGTCCCCATCTTAGACCTCAGGGTCCCCATCTTAGACCTCAGGGTCCCCAACTTAGACCTCAGGGTCCCCATCTTAGACCTCAGGGTCCTCAACTTAGACCTTAAGGCCCCCCAACTTAGACCTCAGGGTCCCCATCTTAGACCTCAGGGTCCCAAACTTAGACCTCAGGGTCCCCATCTTAGACCTCAGGGTCCCCAACTTAGACCTCAGGGTCCCCAACTCAGACCTCAGGGTCCCCAACTTAGACCTTAAGGCCCCCCAACTTACATGCATTTCTTGCTCTCGACCAACTGTGTATACTCCGTAGAAACTTCATTGACATTGACAAGGAACATCCAGTCGCCCTTGTTATTGAGGGCTGCCCGCGGCATGATGAACTCCGACTCGTAGGGGCAGAGGTCTGTAGAACTGGCCTGCCGTCGCTGGCGGCGTGGTGAGGCCCTCACCCTGTGAGGAAGGGGGCGCAAGTGTGAGTGTTAGAGATCGAGGCAAAATGAAATTATGAGGAGGAAGTGAGAGTGGCCAAGTCAATCCACGGCTCTCCAGAGAATCTATCGAAACTGATGCTGGAATTTTTGAAGTTTCTATCGAAACTTTACTGGACTTCAGGAAATGTAGATGTTTATCTCTCAGAATGTTTGGTAATATGTTTATTGTTTGTGATGTGTGTCTATGTATGTATTAACACGATGTACTGAACGGGGTGAGAATAGCTTGAGCTACCTCATCCCTTTGTGTGCATTTTACCTCAATAAACTTATTTCAATTTCAATTACTGGACTTAAACCTCATGTCACTAGAAGATAGACGAGTCAGGGAGGAGGCATGATTACCACGTACAAAATTTATCGGAGGAATTGATAGGGTCGATAAAGAACATAGGTGGAAAATAAGTACTGAAATAATAAGTACCTGTGACTACATGACACAGTACAGGGATAGGAGGATAGGATAGCAGCTGGAATATCGAACGTAGAGTGAAGGATTGGTGTCCAGCCATGCAGGAATCGAACGCCGACCATAAGAAGTGAGGCTGATGCTGTTCGATCCCACTCTCTTTCAACTTGTCTTTTTCGCAACTATTCGTAAGGCCTCAACTTCAAAACCTAAATGTTTAAACCCAAAACAAACGTTGTTACGATTTAAAAACGAGAGGAGAGGCGACAGAGCAGGATCCCCAAATGTTCTTCTAAAACATGGAAGATAGACAGGCGACGAGTCACAATAACGTGGCTGAAGTATGTTGACCAGACCACACACTAGAAGGTGAAGGGACGACGACGTTTCGGTCCGTCTTGGACCATTCATTCTCAATCGACTTGAGAATGGTCCAGGACGGACCGAAACGTCGTCGTCCCTTCACCTTCTAGTGTGTGGTCTGGTCAACATGGAAGATAGACTGGCAAAGCTGTAAACAGGAGAGGCGGTTAATGTGGCAAGAGAAACCAGTTAGAGAAATATTCAGATATAGTCACAAGGGATAAGTAATATGGGATTGAATACACCCTTCTTCATCTTTGTTAAAGATAGACGTTAACTCGACCACAGAGTTTCGTACCAACGGGCCAGTAAAGTACACTAAAATATGTATGAAAGTTGCCCCTGTGGCAGAACAATTACATTCAGATACAATTAAAGTCTTCCACTGGGCCACAGAAAACAATATGAAGTTCGGCGCTGACCAACTGAAATGACTGATGCAGATGATGAATCACAATAACGGGGCTGAAGATATAATGACCAAACCACACACCAGAAAGATGAAGACACGACGACGTTTCGGTCCGTCTTGAACCATTATCAAGTCATATAAACTATCACCTGCCTTGATTCGGTCTAGGACGGACCGAAACATCGTCGTATCTCCATGTTCCAAGTTGGGGTTTGGTCATCTTAAATGACTTAGGTACGAACAAGCTCTGACAACCTTGAGAGGAAAACAGACTTCAAGACATTCCATTCATCTGGGATCTAGGATACTCGAACCGCGAACCCAATGTGTGTGAAGCTTCTACAAGACAGTCTGATCTATCCACCAAGTCAAAGATCTTGGAATAATTATGCTTTAGCCTTCAACTGTTGGCATTATATAACTGACTTTGAATAGGCTCTAGAGAGGCCAGACTTTTGTCTGTGTCAATAGGAAGTTATAAAATAGTTTATTATAAATATAAAAACATATAAAATAACATTAAATTCATTTAAGGAAATAATATGAAACTTTTTGGAATGTTGTATACAAATATTTCAAGAATTTGTCCAGAGTCTTAAGTAAATCCCGCTACACCCAGAGGAGAAAATGTATTGCAAAAAATTAAGCCCCAATGCAGAGCAAGCTTATCACGGCGCTTTGGCAGGAGCACACTGCGATGGTAGTGCCACACACACACACACACACACATACACACACACACACACACACAACACACATACACACACATACACACACACACACACACACACGTCCACCACACACACACACACACACACACACACACACACACACACACACATTGTTCAGTTGATTGACGGTTTGTGAGGCGGGACCAAAGAGCCAGAGCTCAACCCCCGCAAGCACAACTGAGTACACACACACACCACACCACACACACACACACACCACACACACACACACACACACACACACACACACACCACACACACACACACACCCACACACACACACACACACACCACACACACACACACCACACACACACACACACACGCCAGCACATCCCCACCACTCTATAACACAAGGTAGTCGCTCACTCCTATCAGCACAAGCAAAGGTTACTGAAGCATCATTTCTCGCGTGAGCGGAGATAAAGTGAGCGCAGTAGGAAGCAGCATCCAGGGCGACCTTATTCCCCACTGATTCACCTAATACAACTACTCACCCCGAGGTCTACAGGCACCAGCAAGCAACCCACAAAAGCCAGCATACCTTGCAGAAGCTTCAATTCACCCATTCTCTCTCATCCTCTACCTCCTACTCTATTTTTTTTCTCTCTCTCTCTTCTCTCTCATTCTCCTTTCAAACTCATTCTTTAACGCAGGCGCAGTAAGCCCCCTCCTAGCCGGGACCCCTGAGTGAAGACCCTTACTTAGTCCACCACGGCTGAGGCTTGGGAGGGGAGCGAGGTACAGGCGAGTAGCGCGGAATGTAGCTACCGGAAGTCTTGGGGTACCGTGGGTATGGCCCCTCATTGTCGTAGACGGGCGTGGGCGGGGGCTCGTAGAGCAGCGTGGGCCCCGGTTGGTTGTAGAAGCGTGACGGAGGAGGGGCCCCGTACTTCGTAGAGGGCGGGGGCGGCACGTAGGGTTTGGGCGTGCTGGTGAAATTGTGTCGAGGCGGGGGCAGGTACCCCGTGGCGGGCTGGGGCGCCCCGAAGGTGGGTCGCGGGGGGCCGTACGTCGGCTTGGGCTGGTTAAACGTCTGCGCCGGAGGCTCGTAGTCGTACGTCATCGGCTGCGTCGGGGACTCTCTACCGAAAAACGGACCGTCAGAGTGGCGTGATGTTGTTATATAATAAATACTGTGTCACACATTATATAAGGCATATAATATATGTTCTAATGAAGAAAGGAGAGAGAGAGAGAGAGAGAGAGAGAGAGAGAGAGAGAGAGAGAGAGAGAGAGAGAGAGAGAGAGAGAGAGAGAGAGAGAGAGAGAGAGAGAGAGAGAGAGAGGAGAGAGAGAGAGAGAGAGAGAGGAGAGAGAG